AAAACACAAATCCAAGACATCTCCGTCCAGGGAGCGCCCAGCCCTAATATTTATCTGCTGTCAGCGTCAATTGTACAGGGATCTAACTACCGCATTCGCCTGCCTCATATCGTCGTCATCGCCTGCGCTTAACAGGCAGCGACTTTAATTCTGTCCGGGATAACTATCGCTGCCGCTTTTAGTTCCGATTAAATTCCAGTAAACCCTTTAAATGCAAGGGAACAATTCCGCAAGTTTTTATAAATTCATATTGGGAATATTATTAGCGGATCATTTACTTTGAATAGCTACCCCGGCCCATCCAGTTCCATAGGACTGGCACTGTCAGGCATGTAAACCCTTCGGCTAATTCTGCTTCAAAAAAATAGAGTGAGCATCAGACCATAAGGGCCATGTATGCCTCGATCTACATTCTTGAGAGACAACCTGTGGCCCGTAAAATTTAAGCACCTAAACCCCCAACGTCCGGAGTCGGTGTGGCTGAAGACAGTTGGGCCCGAAGTTTTACGCATTGCTGTGGCTGTTGCTCAGGGGGGATCTATGAATTCTGTTGCCTGTGGTTTTTAGGGGGTGTGAATTCAGGTACAAGGAATTTGCCTTGAATTCAAATTAAGGCTGAGCGGTTCGTCGAGATAATAATCTATTCGCTATGGAACGGCCCCTGAATCTACAAATTGGTGGTCAGGTTTTTACGGTATAAAATCAGTGTTCTTGTAGTCTGATATGGTATCATAGCAAACCAATTAAACGTATCTGAATGGCTGCAAGATGGAGATTACTCTAATGGAATGATATAACAGACGTGAACATTCAGGTGTTGAAGAATGCTTCCAAACAAGAGTTGGATCCCGCTAGAGAGACCTGATAGAACAACGAGAAGCCGGCTGGGTATCAACCAGGATTGCTCCGTAAAAGGTTAGGCATTTAAGAATCAATAGTCACCCGCATGCTTGAGCTGATTCAAGGGGCCTCTTAACCAGTATACTTAGTCTCAGATTTGTTTTGATATTCTTGACGAACGATTCCAAACTCAGCAGGCAGGATAATCAAGCTATAGGAGAATTCCCACCCTGACGCCAACAGCAACGGATATATATAACTCAAAGCAGTAATTTGTAACATCCCCATCCACCTCATACAGACATCCTCAATCCCCCATTGGCACACACCACACTCCCCGTACACCACTGCCCATCCTTCGTGCACAACATGCCAACCACCCCCGCAATCTCATCCGTATACGCAGGCCTCCTCCCGCCCATCTTCTCCACCACCAGCTTCCGATTCTCCTCACTCAACCGTTCCGACCCCGTACCACTAAACCCCTCGGGAACCACAATCTTGCTACCGGGCGCATTATCCTGCCATCCCTGCATGATCTTCCAGAAATCTTCACCGGTCTTCCAGTACATATCCCCAATGACAGGACCGGGGTTGATTGCATTAACAGTAGCGCGATCACCGAGCTCGCGCGCCCAGGTTCGCGTCATGGCTTCGATGGCCGCCTTGGTGCCGCCGTAGATACTCTGCCCTTCGAAGCCTAGGCTGGAGCTGACGCTGGAGAGATTGATAATACGGCCCGAGCGGTCTTTGGGCAGGTATGGAGCCACGGCTTGAGTCAGCAGTAAGGGTGCGAGCACATTGACTGTGTATATGCGGTTGAACTGTTCGGATTCAATAGGGCCCCTGACGGGGTCGTTGAGGCGTTTGTCACCCGCAATGCCGGCATTGTTGACGAGAATATCGATAGTCAGGCTGTTGGTGGCTGCGGAGGTGAAATGGTTTCTGGCACTAGCTAGGATCTTCTCGACGGCCGGTGCGGGATCACTGAGATCCGCTTGCACGCTTATGCAACGGATTGAGTGCTCTTTTGTCAGCTTTTCGCAGAGCTCGAGGGTTGGCTCTGTGGAGGCGGGGGAGGTGTAGTTAAGCAGGAGAGAGCAGCCTTTTGAAGCGAGGTTTTCAGCAATGGCTGCGCCGATACCTGTAGAAACGGGTTAGGAGTGACTCTTTATTTTTATGCATAACTTAAGGCAAGATAACGGATGCTGAAGACAAGAGCTTCTGATACGTAGTGGGGGACACTTTACCCCTCGATCCCCCGGTCACGATGCCAAATTTGCCTTCCAGAGGCCTTGCTACGAGGTTATTTGAACCAGACATTACTGCGAGAGTTGATGAGGGAGGGAGTATATACGAGGAATTCTCCTTGGGATTATCCTTCTGTGGTCAATCGGTTTTGATATTGCAGTCAGAGAAAAAAGGATTCAAGTTGGTGTGTGGGGCTCTCGGTCTGTTCTCCGGCTGACTCAGCCAGGCTTTCCCCTGAGACATCCAACTACAACCAAACTCACTGGAGCGATCACCGAGCTGTTTTCTCCTGGGAGCAGATCTGGAAAGAGGGCATTCGGAATAAAAGTGAACATTACCCGATCTTCAGACATGAGAAGACAAACTCCTCCTCAAGACGATAATCATTCCACCTACTAGTCTAAACCCCCCCCCCGTGCTCACTGGGGGAAGTCATGGTGCGCGGGAGGTTGAGCGGTCACTCAGAGCAGCAATGTATGGAATACTACGAGATAATTTGTGCCAATAGTAGTTGTCGTATTTCGTAGCATAGGGTCCATGAATCCTCAGGGAGATAAGATTGAAATTATATATTTACTCTCCCTCTATCCATACACACTTTCGTGGCTGGAAATAACTAGAGATTGTATAGCCACGCCGTAACTGTAAGCTGGATTAAAAAGAGCGCTACCAAAATTTGCCTACACTATCTATTTCTCCTAAAATGAAATCCAACGTTGATTCTGTACAATGTCAGGACCACGAAAATGTGTCTATGAAGAACACAGCCCCTGATGACGATGACAGCAATTCTAGCTTTTCCATAGAATTGTTTCCCTAAACCACGGCCAGTAGTCATCCCGACCATATTTCACAATTGCCCGCAATGCGTTCAATATCTGATACATTCCTTTCATATTCTCCATCAAACCGAGGGCAATGGGCCCATACAGCATCTATGGAAAAGTGAAGTCAGCAAATGCCATTGAGCATACAACTTAAAGTGACTTACCGTCTCTCCTTTATCTCCAACACAACACCAATACATCTTCCAACCGAGGCCCTCGACTTTCAAGCATGGCATTGGTTTCAAATGTACTCCTTGCTCCATGAGCCCTTCCAGCCGCTTGAGTAGTGCGGCCATCCAGATGCCTAGTTGCACTGTACCCTCTGTTCCAGATGGAGTCTTTTTACACTCAACGGCTGCCAGCTGGGGCAGCCATTTGATGTAGTCAGACGACCCAGCTTGATTGATACTATGATTATCGATATCAATATCACGCATTGCGAGTATATCTCGAGTGTGGGTTTCTTGAGGATCTGTTTGCGAAAGGTAGATACAATAGTCTACTCTTTTAGACGTGAATGGCAGATTCTGAAGTCCTGCAGGCACCAGAGATCCAGGGAATATTTGGGTAGTAGTCCTGTGCCAAAATAAATGTCAGAAACGTCCTTTATAAATGAGATGTTATTTTACTGGGCCTGATGCGCGTCTGGGCTGGCAAATTAGAAAAACATACACATTCTCAACCTGGACTTCTTGCTCGCTCTCTCTATTCTCGAGCTCAGCAGCTAGGCTTAGCATCGGTCGAAATACCTCCTCGCCCCAAGAAGGCTCCGGCTTCATAAGCATATCACACTTGGACGCAGCATTTTGAATGGAGTGAAGCTTTTGAAACACTTCTAGGTCATCCGATATGGCAGAGGAAGTGCGGTCATCGAAAAAAAGGCTATGGTACTCGTCGTCATCAATCTCGTTGAGCTGTGTCTGGAAGGATTTCACATGAGTTATATCCGAACGAGCATACAACACAGTACACTACCTTCAAACTGTGGGGAAGCACACCGATACCGCCACATATGTTATTGAACTTGAACTTATTTCGAAGTTCCCGGATCGCTTCTGGAGCTTCTCGCATAGTGCCCAACTTGATGGGCGGTCTGGCAGCCCTCAAGTCACCCATCGTCTTTGTGGGGCTTCGAGAACGCGAACTACTATCTTTGAGGCTAATACTTGTTGCAGTGAACGCCGGGGTGCGAGATAGAGTCGTAGGAGTTTGAGCTGCGAGTTCCGAGGACACGGCAGAAATAGGCTCTCCAAGTTGTTCAGGACTCGCATCCTCGGCGGAGCGCAAACTACTTGGACAGTTAGCTACTGAAAAGCGATACCGCGTATTGATGGGGTTCAACTGATATACCCACCCTATCGGCGCATTCGTCAATGAGCCGCCAACGCCCACCTTTGACCTATCCCTCGGGCCATCCTTTCTCCCTCGCGATCGTGTGGTAACGCGGTTTTTACCCCGTCCGCGGTTCGCTTCGTTGTTGGAATCATCCATAACGGGTGCCAACGCCAACGTGGGCCCGGGTCGTCGAAAGGTATTGTATGAAGCTGACCTGCAAGAACGGGAAGGATTTCGCCTCCTCTGCCTAGAAGAGGAGCCTGGGATTTCATCGGTAGACGACGAGGGGCAGGCTTCGCATGCAGCTAGCCAATCGATAATGGCCTTGTGCTGCTCTACTTGGGCGGAACAGGCTGGAGACATTTTGAAAGCCGATCAAACATCTCTAGGCGATAGGATCATGAAGCCGCATGGGGTTCTGTTCGAATCCCAAGATGGCAGTCTTCGGCTATGTTTAGTTGAATGAGTCTGTTTCTTTTGGAAATCAACAGGACCTCAAGGCGATGCCCGGCGATGGATGTCAACAACACATGTCCACGTGATATTTATGCCAAGCCTTTCAGGATTGACAAGATGGATACTCCGTACATTATCATAAGCAATAATAAGTAACCAATGCAGCCTTACTGTGGCATATTTTTCCCTCCTGGAAACATTACTGTATGTAAAGGGATGAATATAGATGGGGTATTTCACACAACAAGACTAGGCTCAAGTAACGCAAAAACAATAAAGAAATAAAAAAAGTGACAAGAGTGGGATTCGAACCCACGCCCCTTTCGAGACCAGAACCTTAATCTGGCGCCTTGGACCGCTCGGCCATCTTGCCTTGTGATTGGTGATGAAGCTAACCCTCGAAAATAATTTGAACGGGGGGTTCAGTACTACACTTTTTCTTACGCCTGGCCAGTGGCCTCCCCCCTATCTTGTCTCGCAACCCTCGTTGTTTTCCGTCTTGTAAGGCCCAATGGTCTTATTTATAACTGGAGACGAAGAAACTATCATTTCACTTCACAACATATCCCCTGACGTCTCTGGGCTTTAACTAACAGGGGCTTGAGATCAAGCAATCATTCGATCATTATCTCCTCCCTGTCCTTAGCCAAATCGGTTGACGCAGAGATCGAGTAGTTAATAGGCCACGATAAGTAAATGGGTATACATAATGGACTGATAAATTTGGCTTGGACTTGCGTGATGGGTATATACTGATTAATCGACCGAATCGCTTGGCATCCGCTGGATATATATTCAGCAGACAACCTTGACGCGATAAATTATCATGACGGCGACGACAAGATGATGATGTAGGCAAGAAGGAGAGAGAGAGACAGAGAGAAGAGAAGAAGAGGATAAAATAAAAAAGAGATGGTTATGATGCAGGACTGGTGGAGAGGAATGAGGGAGAAGATTGACAAAAAAAAGAAAAACCACAAGAAAAAAAAGAAATTGGCGGTTCAAATGCATCATCCGTGAATCGAACACGGGCCTCATCGAGTCGGAATCCGATGTTGGAATCGAATGGCAACGATGAATTCTACCACTAGACCAATGATGCTGGTTTGTTGGAGAGAGTTTGGCTACCGAAGAATATATTTTAGTGCGGTCAATTTAAGCTTTAGCCGAACCGCCGCAATTTTAACCCTAATCGTAACCTTAATCTGGCGTGTCTTGGGGAAAGAGCTATCGTCGACGTTTATTAATACACCGTGTTGTCAAGCACTGATTAACTCTGTTGTACTTCACATTATCCTATTTCTACTAGTTGTGAGATTGCAGGATAAAATGCAGCATGATAGGAGGGCATTGAACCTCGTCCCGATCGGGGCCTTGGCAAGAAATGCAGGTGTCCCCGATTGTCAATTCCCTACGGCTGAGACTCCGGAGACAACGACATCTAAATCAACACAAATCTCCGCAGATTACTTCCCCATTACGTTTTCCATCAAACATGCCTACGCTTACTGATCTTCCCTTTGAACTGCTACTCCTAATCTTTTCAGATCTTACATTGGGTGATTTCTGCGCACTTTCCTATACCTCACGAGCAATGCCCGCACTTGTCAAACCGTTCCTGTACAAGAATATCAATTTCACGTGGTATGGCAATGAGAGAGACTCGCTATCAAGATCGCCTAGCAATGCTCGAATGCGCAACCTCCTTCTCTCTGTCGTCAGAGGACCCAAAAAAGCGCTCTGGACCGAACACCTGACACTTGGGAGCTACGATGCTTCTGCCGAGACCGCCTGGGAAGATGGATGGGTCCCTGACCCTACAGATGAAGCTCTGATCCGGGACGTAGCTATACGTCCACTACACCGGCTCGGTCAAAAGAGGCAAGAGATCTGGACAGAAGCACTACGGCAAGGGAACAGCGCAATACTTGCAGCTTTATTGGTCCTCCAACTTCCGAAACTCAAGTCTCTTCGACTCGAACTATGTGGCATGACAAACTGGCTCGGAGGCTTTCTTTCTAACATCGTGGATTGCTCCATGGCCCAAGAGACCGGGATTCCTTCAAACTCCATACTTTACAATCTCGAAAATGTCGAGCTGACTACGAAAAACCATAGCGCTGTCCTGGATTATAATATCTATTTTCTCTGCCGTCTTCCGTCTATTAAAAGCATCGATATAGATATCCTAATGGAATGTGATCCACAGAGATCTTACAGGCTTGGACCGTCTACTATCACCGAGTTAACGTGGCGTGACCCAGGCCAACAATCATATCGTCTCAAACCCTTGCTTGCCCAAGCTACGAGCCTCAAATCCCTCACCTATTATAATCGGCCCTATCCAAACGGAATGGCAGCGATGTGCGACGTACTTGGCAGCGCTCTGGAACCAGTTAGCGAGACTTTGGAGCACTTGGTCCTCTATCTTCCTCTTCAAACGCCGAATCACAACTCCACAAATCGTGCTTTTCGTGGATTTGGCAACATGTATATGGGAACCATAGGAACCATCGAGCATTTAACCAGGCTTGAAACCGCCGAGATACCACTCGAAATCCTGTTCACTGATTCTACAATCCATTCGATTTGCTTCTTACTAATATTGAAATTCACCCTGCCGAAAGAACGGCTGCGAAAGCTTTGTTTGTCAGCTTCGGCCGGGTGGGAATCAAAATGGGGAAAGTGGGAAGAAACCTGTATCAAGCTGGTTGGCGGGTACTTGCAGGATTCGCCTAAACGTCGTGCACCACTGGAAGAATTGGTTATCAAGCTTTATGATCTTGAAGGAGAGTTACCTCAAGAATTAGTACGGATATGCTCAGATGCAGGGGTGGTTTGCAGTTTGGTTCATGTTTCCGGTTTCTGGAATCAGTGATTGAATGACGAGGAGGGTGGCTAGGTCTATTTAACTAAGTATGCCCTTGTTTTTGAAGGAGAGATGAGAATTTATTGTATGTGCCCCATCCCAATTTAAGTAAGTTCATGCAAATATCTTATCCCCCCATCCCCGGCAGGGGAAAAAGACCCCTCTTGGATAGTGCGCTCACGATTATTCAGGGTTCTGTTGTTCCCCTTCAGCCGGCTTCACATATGGCTCTTCCTCCTTATAAACATCATACTTGTACTGACTCCCTGTATGATCACTCCTCAGATACTTCTGACCTTTACCATATATCTTCTCTCGCGCGGTCAGGGGCTCTTCATCCTCACCCCTTTTTGGCGGGTATAGCCCTCTCTTCCGCAGCTCAGGAACAAGCAAATCAACCACATCTTCAAATGTGCCCGGAGTAGTCACATATCCCAAATTAAACCCATCAACATCAGCAACCTCAACCCAGCGCTGCAGCTCGTCTGCTACCTTCTCAGGTGTACCTACAACCACAGGCCCCAAACCTCCAATAGCCGCCTTCTGCGCAATAATTCGCGGAGTAATTTCCGGCAGTTCTTCAGACTTCGTCGTCAGAGTCTCCAACACGGACTGGACACGATGTGGCTCCAGCGCATGCTTAACCGGATCAATGGGTTCGTCAAGTGGTATATTGGAAATATCAATACCCGTCCAGCCGGAGAAGAGTACGAGGCCGCCAATGACCGAAGCATACTTTTTCGCCTGCTCGTGTTTTTCTTGCGCTTCAGCCTCCGTGCGGCCGATTATGGGCGTGAAGGTTGAGAAGAATTTTATCGAGGATGGATCCCGACCTAGAGACTGGGCAAGGGCGCGGATTTTGGCAACGCGCGGCGCGAGGACTACGGGGCTGTGGGCTGTTACGAAAATTGCTTCTGCGTGCGTTGAACCGAATGTTGAGCCGGCGCTTTTTGGGAGGGGGGAAGGAAGGTTAGTTATTTGTGAGATGTAGAAGAGAGTTGTTACATTTGGGTAAAAACTTACGAGGAGGTCCCTGCCTGGAAGAGGAAGGGTGTCCGCTGTGGCGATGGGTCAGTAATATGGCGAGATTCAAGGTCGTAGTATTTCCCGTGGTGGTTGATTTGGCGGACTTTGTCTGGATCTGTGTAGATATCGTTCTCTGCGTCGGCTACAACAGCATCGGATGCCCATGAGCCTTCCCAGAGCCTAATTTGGATGCAAGTCAACATATTTTCCCGCTCTCATGATAGTACTCGAGCAAAGCGTAAATCATACTTATAAACAATTCTCAAATATTCGTCCGCCTGCTCATAGCGCTGGTCATGTTCAATTGGAGTGTCAATTCCAATAGCCTTGAACGCAGCCTTCTTCCACGAGGTAACGATATTCCAACCAATTCTCCCATTCGTCAGATGGTCGAGAGTGGAGAAGCGTTTGGCCAGGAGAAAAGGGGGCTCGAACGAGGTGGAAGCTGTGATGCCGAATGCAAGATTCTTGGTGACGGCTGCCATGGCTGCAATGGGCTATAGCAAGGAAAAGAACATTAGATTGGAAATGAGGTTCTGGGTCTAGGAATATGGGGCCAAATACTACTCACTATAGTTGGATCCGTCACAGGCCATTGTGCAGCTCTGCGGATGCAATTATCCAGACTGCCTTCGTATGTATCATACCCGCCATACGTATCAGCTAAGAAAAGAGCGTTGATATCTCCTCTCTCGAGAACCTTCGCGAGATTGATCCAGTATTCGAGTTTCCTTTTTGTTGCCGATTTATCTTCTGGATCCTGTAGATTTATGGTTTTAGCAATTGGTTTTTAGGTATATTTTTTACTCAGAAAATCCGAAGAAACCAGTCCTCCTTACCTTCCATTGTCCAGGAGACAAATGCCCAACCGTTGACATATCGAATGCATTTAGGAGTATCTGCTTCTTGACCCCTTTCCCATTTCGGATAGGGATATCGTTCTCTGCTATAGTGGAAGACATGCTGCAAGAGGTTATAGAGTAGATATTATGAGGAAAGAAAAAGAAGGTAACGATATTTCAAGGAAATGTCGCCGGAGGGAAATAACGAACAAAAAGTAAATAACATGGACAACCTGGTCATGAGGCACCAAGGTCAAATATATAGAAAAGCTAGCCTGCCACAACCGTATCTACCCCTGGCTATTATCTCTATTTAGTGACGACTTCAGGTAATATTACCCCTCCCACTGCCCCTCTTTTCAATCACGACACACCCATTAGAAAAGATGCGATTTGTTTTAAGGCCGTCCAGAATCTAGTTTAGAGCTAACAAACAGCCTTGCAGGGTGGGTTGAAACTTGGATGGGCGAGGGATTGCGAGCAAGGGGGAATGAAGTCATATAACTATCCCCAAGGCAGGGGAAAATCTTTGTATCTCTAGGAAAGGTGTTCCAAAGCACACCAGGTAAGCAGCAGCACAGCGTGAGCTAGATGTGCATATCAAAGGCTTCTTAGAGTGGTGCAATTATGAAGATT